GTCCTTTGTAAACGTGACACATTTTTTACTGTTTGGCCGTGTCTGGTGGTGGAGGGTTACGACACATTTATAAATAACGCGATCTAACCTAAAAACCTTTTTTTATGAATGATATTGGTCGTAAAAGCCTACGTGTTAAAAAGGATCTTCCACCCGGGGGACATTAGCCCCGCTTAAACTCCTTCAGGAGATATGTCTACATTGCAATGGTCACGTGTCTTTAGGTCTACGAATTAGGAGTGCCACCTCTCTGCTATTGTACAGTTCTGGAAGCACCTCTAAAATTATTACCGATGGTCTCCAAATGCCATGTGCTTACCCCCCTTGCAGTATGCGACGCTTATTAAACGTTGACCATTAATAATTAATACGACGATGGCATGAGAGTGCAGATGACCCGATTTGTGGAAGCAGTGTACGGCCGCTGCCTTGGGAGAGGCCGATTGCTGGTCCCAGATCTGGGATCGGATGTTCCAAAGGGCGTTAAGTACGGACGCGTATGTGTGGCTTTCTCAATTCCTCTTTATTCACGGCTCACGCCATGCAAACGCGCAGGGCTAAATATGTCCCTACAACAGAGCCCCCATTGTTCCAACTTCTCGCAACAACATTATCCAAACTCTTTTCCTGCCTGCTGGTCATATCCACGGATCCAAACTTTGCACCGGGTTGCCACCCAGTTTCAAATTAAAACTTAAAACTTCTCCGGCAGAGCTGACCACCAAACGGGGGAACACCTTCATCACCTCTCCTCCAGTGGGCATTCTTCTTCTTCCTCTTCTTCCTCTTCTTCTTCATCTTCTTCTTCAGCAGGGGTATCAGAACTTAGGAAGAAGACACCAGGGGGTTGTCGAGTTTATTGAATGATCTTAACACGCAGGAGGCTTTCGCGAACAACATCATCCATGATAGAGTTTTTTTGGGTTAGATCGCGTAAATGTATAAATGTGTCGTTAAACCCGCCACCACCTGACACAGCCAATTAGTAAGGTTTGTCACGTAAGCAGAACATGCAAATTCGTTATTTGTACAGCACACCGGTGGCGTTGGAGAGTAATTCCACGACATTTACATTGTTTATTGTATCAGTTTATTAAAACATGCGGTTTAGACAGATTCCCATGTTTACTGTAATCCGTAATGTGTGCTGTGCTGGTGTCAACCCCCTTTCATATCCTCTGTGTGTCTGTACCTGAATCGTCTTGGTAATAAAATACTAATTTTGGATGAAAAAAAAGCATTCCGGCAGCTGTGCGACTGCGATCACACAGAACCAAGAACCGTGGAACATAGAACGGACTCAACGCCAGATTCACGAACACGAAGGGAGGCATCGGGCACAGCGATGCACCGCTCCGCTCCTCCTGACGACCACTTCAGTGTGACGTTCTGGTTGATGCTCTACATCGCTGTTTCTAGAACTTTGATTGGCCCGCGGGACCGCTCAGCCGATGCAAACATTTCCACGGCCCACCCGACCACCCACCCCACCCGGCCACCCACCCCACCCGGCCACCCACCCCACCCGGCCACCCACCCCACCCGGCCACCCACCCCACCCGGCCACCCACCCCACCCGGCCACCCACCCCACCCGGCCACCCCCAGCGACGTAACGCATTCACTTCTCCCTCGTCAAATTCCAGTCATACTAAATGATTAATATTACAGGATTTTTTTTATTGTAGCTATGATGTTTTTTCTTTTTTAGGGGAGGCATTTAGATCCAAGGGTTAGGGTAGTTTAATCAGGGTAGTTTACCTAATATTATTTTAAAATTAAATGTAAAAAAGTAAAATATTAATTCACGTCCGAAACAATAGGTATGAACGTTGTCATCATTTCCGGATCAAGCTGCGACGTTTGGATAACAGTCCCATGGGCCACCTGGAGGAGCATCACGGACCACTCACTGGTGGTGTGGAGACCACTCACTGGTGGTGTGGGGACCACTCACTGGTGGTGTGGAGACCACTCACTGGTGGTGTGGAGACCACTCACTGGTGGTGTGGAGACCACTCACTGGTGGTGTGGAGACCACTCACTGGTGGTGTGGAGACCACTCACTGGTGGGTGGGGACCACTCACTGGTGGGTGGGGACCACTCACTGGTGGTGTGGAGACCACTCACTGGTGGTGTGGAGACCACTCACTGGTGGGTGGGGACCACTCACTGGTGGTGTGGAGACCACTCACTGGTGGTGTGGAGACCACTCACTGGTGGTGTGGAGACCACTCACTGGTGGTGTGGAGACCACTCACTGGTGGTGTGGAGACCACTCACTGGTGATGTGGAGACCACTCACTGGTGGGTGGGGACCACTCACTGGTGGTGTGGAGACCACTCACTGGTGGTGTGGAGACCACTCACTGGTGGTGTGGAGACCACTCACTGGTGGTGTGGAGACCACTCACTGAGACTCACTGCCCTATACCAACATCAGCAGCCATGCGGAGAAGACCCAATTTCTCACGTGGCCTTTGAGAGCCTTCTGTCTCCCTCTGCCAACTCTCGCCTGCTGAGCCCCCCCCCTCCCCCGCGTCAATCTCGGCCCTACAAGGTACACGAGTGAGCTTTGCCCACTGCAGTGGACCCAGCCTCCTCCAGTTGATGCAATGGAAGACCCAAGGGTTGCCCACGTGTAAACACTGGGTGTTTGTGTTTAGTTTGTCGACCTTCCCGGCACCTCCCGATCAGCACGGTTGGCTATGAAAGAAGTTCAACAAACACACGGTTAAAGCTAACACACAGGCGTTCTTCACCCTTGCATGTCTTCTGGAACTGTCGCAGGGATCACTAATGGTGTACAGGAGAACTTGGGTACCAGGGATCGCTAATGGTGATCTTGGGTACCAGGGATCACCAATTGTGTACAGGAGATCTTGGGTACCAGGGATCACTAATTGTGTACAGGAGATCTTGGGTACCAGGGATCACTAATGGTGATCTTGGGTACCAGGGATCAGTAATGATCTTGGGTCGACTTGTCGTCTATCTCTTTGTCATCTAATCCCATTTCCACCACCACCCCCCCGTCTTCTAGATCACAGCCACAAATCCACCAGCGGTTCCTTACATCACGTCTTACTGTAACACAAATCCACCAGCGGTTCTTTACATCACGTCTTACTGTAACACAAATCCACCAGCGGTTCCTTACATCACGTCTTACTGTAACACAAATCCACCAGCGGTTCGTTATACTCCTGGAATGTTGTTTGGGGGGGGAAAAAAAAAGACGTTCCCGCTTTTGTAACGCATGAATTGAGCCAAATACATTTTCGGTGAAACTTGAGTATAAACTTTATTTGTCGATGAATACTTTTATGCGTGTGTTTATACATGTTGATACAGTATTTCAATAAATGAAATTTTAACAGTTACTGTGCACGTGACCGCAGAACAGCCAAAATGTGAACAATAACGATAACCAGTAAACACAAAACAAACCGTTTCATAGCCAGGCACACATAACGAACAATAATTGAACGTGTAAAAAAAAATATTGAAGGGAAATGTGTGAAAAAAAAAACCCCATTTATTTTAATTTAAGAAAAGTGCCTAAACATTATTTGTATGGCCTTAAGTAAAACAGTCAATTTTAATCAGCAAAAGGGTATGGGGAAACACCACATCAACAAATAACAGCCTTCACAATGTGTGCATCTGAATGGTTTAAAAAACTGTCAGCTAACTACTTTGGGAAAACAACTTAAGACTACTTGTGTTCATACAGCCCAGTCATCCAAAGTATCTGGCAAATGGAATCTACACATTGGGTAGAACATTGCCGTGAGCTTTGTGCAAGAATTTATAACATCCTCAGAGTAGCAACTTGGGGTAAAGGTTGGCGAATCAACCTTATTTGGTGGCATGTTTGTTTCTACAAAATACTGTGCCATTGAGATACAAGTACACACACACATACATATATGAATACTGATTTGTCGTGGACGTGTGTTTACATTTAAAAAACTATTAGATTTGTATTTTTTTTTATATTTTACCAGGTAAGGCCCACTGAGCTCTCATCAGAAACAACCTGGCCACAAATAACAGCTCATCGATGTGGCTCATCATGTGGAAATGATATAGAAGCCAAATAATCTAAAAGCATGTTTCTAAATGTGGAGGGAAAAACCGGAGGAACCGGAGAAAAATTCCACGTGACCACGGGGAGAACGTGCAAAGTCCAAATATACAGCAGCAGGCGTCAGGGTCAGGATCCAACCCATGACCTCCTGCATAGCAGGCGAGGGAGTTAACATCTCACCCCCCCTGTGGTCTCCTACACCACACAATGCCATAAGTGAGAGCGTAAAGAGTAAATACTGTCCAGTGGAGCTCCACTTGGCCCAAAAGCAATTTGGAAAGGTCAAATGTTGCATGGAAACGAGTCAACTGAGCAATGTGTTGTATAGTATAATAGAGCCTATGTCTGCGTGTATAAGTTCACTATTCACGATGTAATGCGTTTTTTAAGTTGTTGTACCGCTGTATGAACACATCAAAAACAAATCCTGGTTATGTGCCTGGTCTCTGGGCCACACCACATTGAAGACTGCTACCAATATTAAACACAAACACGGTGTTAATTGACATCTCTGCCATATGCTAGTTTTTGTCAAATATGAAATACAGGATTTTTCTGAAATTCTTGTCAGTTTTTCTTCACATTATATCTTGTTTGGGAACATTCTAAAAGTTTGAACTTCAATGTGGTTATTACTCTACACAGCACCACTGTTTTACAATTCAGTTAAGGCGCTTTTAATACTGGGAATGAAATGCACATGACATGCTTAAAATTGACTATTTTCTTTGATCTCTCTTCATTGCCATGCTTTTTACTATAATAGGTATTATTTATTTGAATACTCTTATCTGATATATTCTTCGCTATAGTGCTGTCATTTCTATTCTTCTAACAGATACTGAAAACAATCTCAACAGTTTGAAATATTATAACTTATTAACCATGTCAAGGTTCGTGTGTTGTGTTTTTTTTGCATAAACAGTGGAGTTTTCTACAGGTACCTCAAAAGTTACATTTAAAAAAAATGCTTGGAACAACATGTATAAATTAGCCCACATTTGGTCGCGAAAGCCTACGCTTTAAACTTAGCCCACATAATCTGGGATACCATTCACAAGGGTCCACTGTTGAAGGCCGCATGACACAAGGAAAGCCAGCGAATTAAACTTTTTGCCAATTTTTTTTTTTACATTTCCCCCCCTAAATAAAATGGACCCGTAATGCATTTTGTTTTTCTTTACGCTGCTAGGTAATATCCTCGTTAAGGGGGAGGTCCATTGTATAAATGTGGCCATTAACCAAACTGTTCGAGCTTTTCAAAGAGGGCCTTGATGTTCACCTTCTGGATTATGAAGTTGTCTACGACTGCTCACCCTGATGCGCATTGACGGGTGCGCATGAGCTCACACTGCAGGCAATCGGCTGCACGGATTCTGAGGTCCCTAGCAAGTTGTCTCCATTTTCAAGGACACACAGATAATTTCACCATTAACCTTCGTACCTTGCATATTGACCATTTGAATCTCCCTCCTGTTATGGATTATAACAGCGCCTACCTCCGCTCAAGAGGCCACCGATTTTTACGTCTGCGAGATGGAAATATCTAGCCGAGAGAGAGAGAGCGAGCTTCCGATTGAACGCCGTGTTATGTTCTGTAGGAATGGTTTTGTATAGGAACGCAACAGAATACTGCATGAAAACATTAGGTTTGTACAGCTTTGTTCCAAAATATCACCCATTGGCCACACGGAAATAATACTATTGTCACTAGTTTATACCGAGCAATTATGGTTATAGTACAGCAAACTAAATACATTTACCTGTTTATTAACGGAATATGCATTTTAGATAATAATAATACAATGCAAGTGGCTTGACAGTTCTTTTGGTTCAAGCAATCTGCACAAGAAAATCTCTTTTCGACATTTTTCAGATGTGGTGACGTAAAATGTTGATATTTTGGCACGGTGCACGGTCCTGGCAAATTAAAAAGAAAACTCATTCAGAAACTGACAATTAAATTCCGCGTCGTTACTTGCATTGCAAACAACGAGCGCCCTCACCGAGTGTGATACCTCAAACATCAACCGTTCCGCAGTGAGCGGCGTCTTCACGACAAACCAATCTTTTTACACAGTGCTGCATAATAAGAGGCATGCCAACTCACCACAAAGCCTCAACGTTAACCCTTCAACAACACGTGCCAGGATTTGCAGTGTCAAAATTGCGCACTAGTGTCATTGCATCAGAGGGATCGCATCCGCAACAAAGCGGCCGTCTTCATCCGACGCGACCGACGTTAATTTTTTTCGCTTATAGTCCAACAATGCGGGCAACCAAAAAGTCTCTCCGCTACCCCCCCCCAAACCCCCGCCGTTCGCCGGCCCCATCGATCGACTCAAACCCACACGACGGAGCGGAAGTGGGACGAGAGCCTGCGGGCGTCCTCCAGGTGCGACCCCACGAAGCTGCAGACGTCGGGCTGGCTCAGCGAGCCCACCATGCACGGGTGCGAGTGCCGCTGCCCGAGCGGCCGGGCGCCGTGCGGGGGCAGCTCGTCAAAGAAGGAGTCCATATCGTCCAACTCGTAGATGGACAGGTGCCTCGTCTTCTTGACGGTCCTCGACTTGTCGGCGCGGCTGCTGAGGCCGCCGCTGCTGCTGCTGCTGCTGCTGAAACGCTTGCGGATCTGCTCCGGAATGGACAGCAACCGCGCCAGCCCCGTGGGCCTCTTGGACTCCTTTTCCAACTTTGGATTTTGCTGCTGCTGCTGCTGCTGAGTTTGGGCCGCGCGGGCCGTGCCCCCATTGCAGATGTCCGGCAGATCCATCCAGTTGTGAACGAGGTCGGCGAAGCTGTTGTCCCCGAGGACGAGCGGCTGGCGCGTGCGCGAGCCGCTCAGCAGGGCCTCCGTCCAATCCTCTCGCTCCGGCTCCTCCGGCTGCTGCTCCTGCTGCTGCTGCTCCTGCTGCAGCTGCTGCTGCTGCTGCGGGGGAACGGGCGAGCCGTCCTCGTGGCACAGCGACGGCAGCGAGCGTGCTGCGGTCAGCTTGCGCTCGGCGCGTTTCCTCTCCACCGCCCTCTTCCACCGCTCGGGAAGCTGCGCCCGCCGCAGGTTGCGCTGGAAGCGCTGCGGCGGCGGCGGCGCCGACGCCGCCGGCTGCCCCGACCCGGCCGCGCGGCCGAAACCCGAGTCGGTCGAGACGACGGAGCACTCCGAGTCGGAGCGAGCGTCCTCGTGGTCGTCCCGAGCCGACGCCGGGCTCGCCGAGTCCGACGGCGTGGAGGGCGCCGCGCCGTCGGCGCGCGGGGTGCAGGGGGCGCCGCTCAACTCGGAGGTCGGCGAGGCGAGCGAGCCGCACGCCGAGTCGTCGGTGTCGGCGTCCGACACGTCCGAGCACACCGAGCCGGCGGCGCCGTCGGCTTTCGCGGGGGTCGCGGACGCTTGCCGCGCACGGTGCATCTCGCCGAGCACGTCCAGGGCGCGCCGCAGCGTCGCTTGAAGGTCGGCGTCGGACTCTCTCAGGCCCTGCTGCGGAGCGACAGGAACGGAAGGGGGGCGGGCGGCGATTAGCGGGGACGTGGGAGCCGCGGGCGGACGCGACGGGCGACCGCGCGCGGGAATGACGACGCCGATCGGCGGCAGTCGTGGAGCACGTATTTGGTGCACGCGCGAGCACGCGCTTTAAAAAGCGCCCGGAACAAAGACAACAGTCGCCCCCGTTTCACCTTAAAGGAGGCTGCAGGGGGCAAGCGCTCTTAGCTCATCAAGACCGTATTGGAGCATCTATTGTGGTTCCTTACAAAAACCCGTGTTGAATAACTCTCCAAGTACAGCCTTTATTAAACCCCATCTCCTAGCCCTAATATTATCACACACACACTAGCCCTAGTTTACACCAGAATAGTACGTACAATTATCAAATAATTCCTGTGTTAAAAGGCACCGATTCGGGCACATTAGTATATTTTTTAAGTGTGAAATTTTTCTTTATTAATGTACTGTCACATATCGCACAACTCCATCCCCCTTAAACTCACTGGGGCACCCCCTCAATAGAAGCGTAGAATTTCCACCATAAGCTCAGGGCTCTTTGCTGTGGTGAAAGCTCACGGATAGCGTTAAGGCATTTTTTTAACTTCCCCCCCCCCCTAGGATTGCGGCCAGCCACGTTTATTTTACCATGCAAATATTTAAACTTCATAAACTCAACAACAACAACAGTAAGACAGGGAACAAAACACTCTTACAAATTATACGGCTTCAATTAAAGCACCCTGAAGGGCTGCTGGATTCCATTGTCATGCTGCTGGCTTTTTCACATTTTGAGCAGTGAACAGGGAAGAGTCTAGACTTGCGTGATGCCAAACAGGTTTATCAGAGGCAGTGGGGGTGAATTCAAGAAAAGAGGAAAGGGGGATTCTTTCCAGCATGCATCATCATCCATTCCATGGTGGGAGGTGCACGCCCTGAGGTCCCACCCTCCCTCCCACCCGCACACCTTCCCACCTCACCGCTCTAGCATCAATTCCAGGGGGGGATTTTTTTTCTTCCGCCCCCACATCGGCAAAAACAACTCTGAGAACCATGAAGGTTAGCCTCTACCTGGTCCAGGAGAGGGAGGCCCTACATCCATGACTTGACTGCATAGGGCATTAGTGGATAATTACAGCAGTAAAATACAGCGTAGGACAAAGATGCCCCTGTTGAGGGCATACGCCATGAGCGGAAGTCACTACTGTATAAAAAAAAGTTTCGCCACATCAGGTGGCACAAAAATATATTTTCGGTTGTTGTGATTGTCTAGCTACAGTAGTTCAGACTGTTGGGGCAGAATGCTCTTTGCAAGCGTCTATGAAGGCCAGCAAAGGTTAACACAAATGGGCAACGGTGGCTTGAAACACAAACTCTAGGCTTCTGATGTGTCTCAAAAATACTGACATTAACGCAACGCACCAGGAACTTTATACCAGGCACAGTCAGTTTAGAGATAGCATAAACAAAATTCAGAGACAAAATGTGTATTTCCAATAAACTGTGTAGGCTGATGTCACTGGTAAACTGTGCTCAGCTCAAAGTCAGGTCACAGGGTTGATCAAAAATACATGCAAGTTCAACAAGGAGCCGAGGACTGCCCATTTTCTTTAAGCAGAGAGAATTTGAATATTGAATAATTATCCATGACTCACCCTCTGTGTTTGTGACTGAACAGCAGCCACGATTACCTTTTGCTTTGAATATGAAAAAAAGTGCTTAAAAAAGTGTATATATAACTACAGTACAAAAGTTGATATCTTAGGAATAACAGGGGAGTACCACATATATTAATTGTAGCGATACGCTTTCTTAAAACTGGACCTGACCGCGTTGGTGTAAAAACAGAACAAAAAACAGAAAGTTGGCGTTTTTGTAAACCTTCAATTTGGGTCCCGAACGGAGCTCGTGGTAGCCCCGCGTGTGTTGTGCCCAAAACGCACGGATTTAGATCGCATACCACCGTGAGAAAAAAACACACACTGCGAGGATCAGACAAGGGGGCTACTTCAAACCAAATATTATGAGAACTGAGAAACAAAAAAAAGACTACAGATACGTTTGGTCCAACTGTAAACAAAACTTGCAGAACACGGGGTAAGACGGCATTATGTCAAACAGCGCTCCAGAGGATAACTGGAGGCGTAAGCCAGCCTACAACGTGAGTGGCACCAGAACCCATCATGTCCGTTACCATTATTGAATGTTGAAAAAGCTATTCGCAATCAATGGTAGAATGTGGTAGAATGTATGTAAATAACAAAATACAAATTATATCCCAGCTCGACATGTACTCAATCAAGTTGAGGCCACGACTCACAAATTACAGAAAAATAAGAAAAAATTACAGCCCCCTATTCGATCCACTGCTGGATGACGGGACTTGACACACCATCGACACACCGTGTTGGTCGTGGGAGGGATTATCTGACCATACTTCACCACTGGTTGGTAAGTGCCGTTTGCTCAAGGAGGATAAGGCCTAAGACAAGTTCAGATATCACTCGCTACTGAGGTTAGCCATGTCCAGGAATCAAACTCAGGTCGGCCGGTTCAGAGACGTAAAATATGAGACATGAAAGAGTACGCCAATAATTTTAACAATTAAAAAATCTCAAAATTCCAACAACAATAAACAATTGAGGGGGGAGCTGCTATGTAATCCTATATAATGCGACCTTAGAGGTCTCCATGGCTAAGCAGATAATGAATCTCATTAGCAGATAATGGGCTTTCCGCCTACTTAAATAAATCGCAATACAACTCGATTTAGACGCGCAGTACTGTGCGCTCAGGTTTGGATGGGATGGTGCCGGTTCGAAATAAAATTCGCTTCGTATCCGTTACTGTGTTATGTTCCTACAGCACTGCAAACAGAGAGAAAAATCCCCCCCCCCCCTGCACCGACTCTTGGGCAATTGCTGTTAGTGACCATCTATCTGTACGAAGGGGTGGTGCTGACCACGCCCGGCCACCTTTGTCTCCCCAATTGTTATCATGTTTGCACACGGTACCAGGTTACTCAAGGCCAGAGCAGTTTTCTGTCGCTGCTATTGATCGTGAGTGGGAATCGAGCTCGGGCGGCTTAGGTTCGTAGCGCAGTGCAGCGCTAACCACTGCACTTACCCGCATCACTACACACACACACAAGTGACAAAGACGAAATCCCCTACGTATAGCCTTAACAGACTGTTAGGGCAAGTTCTGTTAACAAGTACCGATTAAGACCGGCACGGTACACGAGGAGGAGGGCGGGGGAGTAAGGTGGCCAGCACCACACCCGAGCGCCTTTGTATCCCCAGCGCATCAGGTTACGCACAAGGCGGGGGGGAGTGGGGGGACAATTACAGGGGCGCGTGATAACCACCAGGCTCACAGGCAGCCAAGCCAGCAAGCCACTCTCCATTAGACTAATTGAAATCCTCCACACGTGTGCGGGGAGCGGTGGATGCATTTGTCTAATTGAGCGGCCACCCAACCACACTTTCACATCGCTGCCGCTGGATGGTAGTGGGCATATGGATGAGCAAGCAGATCCTACCACCCTGTCGCCTCCCCTCAAATACACAAGTACCACCAGACATATCCCCCCCCCCCCTTCTCTTGCCTTCCCACCTACCCCAGGGACAAGTGTGGTGCTGGTCTCTACGGGGGCTCACAGAGCAAAGGCAGACGAATGCTCCTAGGGCGGCTGCAGATTGTGAATTTCAATTTGAAGAGATCCCGAGCAGACGGGGCTGTGACTTATTTCTGCATCACAAGTCTGTGATTTAACAACAAAGGAGGCAGCGTATGTGTGTATGTTTGTGACCGTGTGTGTGTGTATGTTTGTGACCGTGTGTGTGTGTGTTTGCGACCGTGTGTGTGTATGTTTGTGACCGTGTGTGTGTGTGTTTGTGACCGTGTGTGTGTGTGTTTGCGACTGTGTGTGTGTATGTATGTTTGTGACTGTGTGTGTGTTTGCGACCGTGTGTGTGTATGTTTGTGACTGTGTGTGTGTGTATGTTTGCGACTGTGTGTGTGTGTATGTTTGCGACTGTGTGTGTGTATGTTTGTGACTGTGTGTAGCGGTTAGCGCGCTGCGCTATGAACCTGGCGACTCGAGTTCGATTCCCGCTCACGGCCAACACCAGTGACGATAATCTGAACCGGTACCGGGCCTCCCCTAGGTCGACTCAGCCTCAAATGAGTACCTGGTGCGGTGTGTAAACATTGCCACTAGGGAGACAAAGGCGGTCGGGCGTGGTGCTGGCCACCCACCCCCTCGTGTACCGTTCCGGCCTTTATAGGTGTTCGCTAACAGCACTTGCCCCTACAGTCTGTCAAGGCTATACGGGGGATCTTTGTGTATGTTTGTGACTGTGTCGTCTATGCGCGTAGTTTGTTTTGATTTTGTTTGACCAGGTGAGAGGTCAATGGACAAAGGATGAGTCCTCATTTATAGAGAGGAGGGGGCAAAATAGAAAGTGCATTCATTGCTTTGGAGTTCCCCAAACAAATCGTTTGGATACTAAAATATCGTCGTCTTTATTTTACCAGGTAAGGTCCCACTGAGCGATGCAGCTTTTTTTCAGAAGCGGCCTGGCCACAAATGAAAGCTCAACGAAGTGGCTCCTCACGTGGCAATTTATAGCAGCCAAATGCAGTAACTCTCAAGCGCATGATGATAAATGTGGAGGGAAAAACCGGAGGACCCGGAGAGAAATCCACGCGACCATAGGGATAGAGACACCACAAACTCCAAATCGAACCCACGACCTTCTGTATACCGGGCGAGGTTGTTAACATCTCAACACCGTGGCTACATTAACTTTCAACGACTCTCAGACCCCCCGTGTAGCCTTAACAGACTTGTCGGGGCAAGTGCTGCACCTATGATGGCCGGAACGGCACACGATGGGGTGGGTGGCCAGCATCACGCCCGGCCGCCTTTGTCTCCCCAGTGGCGATGTTTACACACCGCACACCAAGTACTCATTTGAGGCCGAGTCGAC